AGGAATATAAAAACAGATTCTTGAGAAATTATTCAGTGTTAAATATAAAGGATTGGTTTCATGGACGTGAGTGCCTTCCTTTGCTTACCTTGTATCTTTGGCAACTGCTGACAACCAGACATCTGTAATTTCTGTTCCTTTTTAAAGATTGAGCAACTCCTGCTTGTAGTGACTAGCATATTGGGAAGACAATAGCTGTAACACTGTCAAAAGCACAGTTATGAGATACGTATTTGTAGGATATACATCCCCACCCTTCAATTCAAGGTTCCTATGGCTGTTTCTGTACTCATAAATCAAAGAGACCCCACTCAAAATTTATTAAGTGTTAGATCTAATAATGGGCACTTGCATATCCGCTGTTTGGAAAATATGAGAAGACATGCTCTTTATGAAGACTATTAAGTATTTCATTGTCTCTATGAAAATTCTGTTCTCAGAGAAGCCAGAATTATAAAAGGGTTCTCTGAAGGTATGCATATAAATAAATGCAGCAAATTTTCTAGAAAATATTAATGGATTTTTTAAATGAATATATTGAACAAGCAGACGTACAAATAAGATCTCATAATTATATAGTAATTTTCAGAGCTGAACTAAAAGATGAACTTAACCGATATATTTCTAAAGTAGTACATTTTTGCTTTTAAAGACTGTCCAGTTCTATGTTGCTTTTATTCTGTGTATTATGCCAAATACTGTGGAATGTTTCAAATGCTTTCTGTATGTGTGTGCATGTACAGATATCTACATACAGTATTGCAAAAATGCTTTAGAAGTATTATTCCTATAAGTATGCTTTTTGAGATGTAATAAATATTTAGCATGGTTTCATTAAGTTTATTACTAATATTTTGTTGCAGTGAAAAAGAAACACATTTCAGTGTTTGAAATACAGAATTAGGCTCAGAGCTGTGAACTTCTTGTAATTGAAGTATGGTGAATGCTTAAGTGTATGTGTGAGACGTGTGGAATTTCTAAATGTAAATTTAGAGAACCCTTTAAACTGCAAGTACAATGTACTACAAGTACTACATGCCACGAGTTAGGATTCATGGTTTCTAGTCTTAGACATGAACTCAGCTTTGTTCTAGCAATTGTAATCTTCATTCATTTCCACCACTCATTTAGGGGAGGAGACATATCCAAACAAATGTGAAAAGCAGCAAAATAAAATAACCAGTGGAAACTTAAAAGATACTTGGGCAAGTAATTTAGGAGGACATTTCTTACAGGAAACTTGTGCCTTAAAATAACAAGCATATGAAAGTTTGAAAAGAATCTATTTCTGGTCAAGGCTTAGTAGTTTGTGATTACACAGGGACAGAAAAAAAGTATATAAATTCCTTTTCATACAGATTGTAACTGCTTAATCTGATAATACTGCAACTTCAGGATGTCTGAGGTGAACCTGGGCTTACATATATGTGGTACTGCCATAAATAGACTAGTTGTGGTCAATTGGATTACAGCATCAAAGTTACTGTTGCTACTTCTTGACCCATTAGGGGTTGATGGAAAATTAAAATTAGTACTGTGAAATTGAAGTTAGTACTGTGTATTTATTTAAATTACTTTGCTTTGTCTTTCAGCTTTTATCTGTCATGATAGTGGAGCAACTGTGCTAGCGTATGCTCCAAAACATCAGCTGTTAATATCTGGAGGCAGAAAAGGCTTTACGTGTATAATTGATCTTCGCCAAAAACAGCAGCAACAGTTACTCCAGAGTCATGATTCTCCAGTCAAAGCAATTGCTGTTGATCCTACAGAAGAGTATTTTGTGACAGGATCTGCTGAAGGCAACATAAAGGTATTAATGAGGGGGAGGGAGTAAAGATGAAGATGGTGATGATGTGTAAATTCAAGAAGAGTCTTGCATAAGTGTGGAACAATCAGATATGTCATATCTTCTGCATTTGTTCTCAACCCTGACTTACACATTTACTAATTTCATTATGAAATGGTAGTCTTACCTTTCAATCCTCCTTTTAGTTAGTTTTACCTTAGTTCCTGTGTATATTCCTTATTATAAATAGTGAATATTAATATTCTATAACTCTGTCATTACAGATTGCTGCACATCTTTTCTTTTACAGTTAGTGTCAGAACAATGAATGCAAAATGTAGTCCAATTTCTCCATGACTCATTATTGGTGACTTTTAAGATCATGGTAATTATCCTTGCAAGATACTGATGTTTTGGTGCTTTTTTAGGTATGGAGTCTGTCTACATTTCATCTTCTTCACACTTTCATCAATGAGCATGCTCGGCAGTCTCTCTTCAGAAACATTGGGACGGGAGTCATGCAAATTGAGACAGGACCAGCAAATCACATATTCTCCTGTGGTGCTGATGGAACAGTAAAGATGAGAATCTTGCCCGATCGATTCAGCCCTTTAAATGATGTGTTAAAAAATGATGTGAAATTTATGATCTAATATTTTTCTCACAACAGCGTATAACATTCCCCTTCTGCCACCCCTGAGAATGTTTTTCCTGGAACTAGCCAACAAACCAGATACACAATGATAGCTTGTGCCACAAAGGTGTTTGTTTGGGTTCCCCCCCCCCATATTTATTACCTGTGGCTTTTATTCCGTGATGCACTGATGCCTTAAAGATTAACAAGGTCCTTCAGATTTTGATCGTTGCCTAAAATAAAAGCTGTACATAACTCTGAATTATAATACTATTAAGATGTTGCTGTAGTGGTTAACTCTTCCTTTTGTGAGGTAGTTACACTCCCACCTAGAGTGTGCCATCTGGGCATGGCCTCTACTTCCATTCAACAGCTGTCTGCCTTCTGAAAGCAGGCCAGTCCAGATGGAAACCTTAGATAATGTTACTCTTTCACTGTGGCAACCATAACTGTCTCTCTTCTCCACTTGTTTAGTCAGCTGACAATAAAAATACATACCTATGTGTAGAAGAGAAAGCCTGTATTAGGTACTCCTGGCCATGCAAGGAATTGTATAACGAGCCACTGTCTGTCTCCATTCCTGGAATCCAGGCTATTTACCTCTCTTAACTTGCCTGATCTTCCTCTGACCTAGGGTATAAGAAACTGAAGGATGTTCTCTAACTTGTCTTCTGTTCTATGGCTTGAACCACTGCCATAGAATCAGGATAGCAGGCTTACCTTTTTAAAAGAAATATATTTTTAACCCTGAACACTCCCTTTACAAAAATATGTAAATATTAATGGGTATCTTCCTAGTGAAGTAAGTCAAGGTTATGTGTGAAGCTTTATTCTTGATCAAAAAGATACAGGAAGATACTGCTTTAGGATATGGCACTAGAATTTCTTCAAAGACTATTTATTTACATGTTTGTGTGTGGGGGGGGGGAAACCCCTAATTTATTTTTACATTTTTTCCAGTAAGACTTTTATTTAGCCCAAAGATAGTCAGTTTGTTCTTAGCACTTATGTCTTTTTTTTGTCTGCTTTTCCCAAGTACTTTAAAAAAGGAAAAAGGAAAAAAGTTCAACAGCGAAGTACTTAAATACTGTCAGTCTTTGTACTGTATGTTTACGTCTGGTGTAAAATTAAAGAAAAAAAATTTCAAAAGAATAGATGAATTTTTTGCCAAAATATTAAACTGCATAACTTAAATGTTTGACCAAATTATTAATGCACAAAGCCTTTACATTTTTTTAGTCATCTAAAAGCTTTCTGTAAGTATTTTGGTTTACTTCTCCTGACTTGAGAGCTTGACAAAGATTTAATTTGTAATAGATGTGAGGCTGGATTACTTGAATGCCAATGGTGTACTTTTTGCTAAAAGATATTTTGTGAAATATAGCACCAAGGTTATTAACTGTAAAATAAACTTGTCAAATTAGGAACTATGGGGATAAATAAAGCATAGCAGAAATGAAGGGCTTGTAAAAATGAACTTTGTAATTCTCAGGATGCTTTTATCTTAAGAATATAAAATTGTTTAAAAAGATTTTGTAAAATGTATTAAGGTCATTTTAAATGTATGTTTCGCAAGTTGCAGTGCAAACACTATGAAGGTTTTTATGCACATAACCTGAATTTTCAAACTGTGCAATAAAAAGAATGTGACTGTTTTGCCATGAAGAAACAAGTGACAGCGTTTCAGACTGGTACAGCTGTTCAGTGATGCAATTCTAATTGTTCTTCCACAACATTTAAAGATTGGAATCAAAATTTATATCAAAACAGTTTAAGTACAGTGATGGACCAGAAAAGTGACTAAAAGTGACACCACATTACAAAACAGACTTGCGCAATGTGTATGTCATATCTGCTCAGTGACTGAGTTTCTAATACTCCTTATTCTTATGAAAGAAGGAAAACAATGGAGTTAACAGTAGCACACACCTTGAGAATCAACTGAAACCCTGACTTTGTAGCTGCTTATATGTATGCGTTTGTTTTATGCACTCACTAAGAAATTTACATTCAGAAAAGGAAAATGTGCAAAAATCATGGCAACATTATATAATGATGTACTTAATGTTTTGTCCTTAGATATTTATATCTCATTAGCTTACATATTTCAAGCTCAGTTTATTGTACTGGCAATCACAAAAAGCTGTCTTATAAATCCTGTTCAGTTTGCAGATGATATGTAATTTGCCAAGACATACAGTGTTGTCATTTTTTCTAAGTAGAGCTGCAGTATGAATAATCCTGGAAAATTTATGCTTGTACCAGAAGAGTACTGACTGTGAGCAGGCATTTTCAATAATGTTTATAGTTACCATAAGCTACTCTCAAAACTAAATTATGTAAAATCACAATGTATTTGCCACACCTTCATGATCTTCCCAATAAATCCTGCGGAAACTCAGCCTTCTAGAATTCCATGTTGCTGCTACTTCATTTACAAATGAGTTGTTTGCTTGTATAATGTTCCGTGATGTTTAAAATTATTGTAAGTCAAATTATTGGTTGCTTTCTTGTAATGATGTAATCAAAATGAGTTAACTTCTGTTGTATCTGAAACTTTTAAAGGGACACTCTCAACTTTAAGTCTGGTCTTTGGGGAAGAACTGAACTCGAAACTCCTCCAGCTGTTGCCCTTAACAACTTCCTAATGACTTTGGTCCTCCAGCAATTAACGCTTTCTCCCTCTTGCTATGCAAGTTACTCTAGCAGAAGGGTAATTAATAGCGGCTACCCAGGGTTCTGTGCTTGAAGTAGCCATGTGCACAAATTGAACTTAAACTGTGCAATTACCAGTGCTTAATCAACAGTAATTCCATGTCCAGACAAAATAACTTAGCTTGTAGTTGATAGTGTCCCTTTCAAATATCATAGACTAGCAGTTGTGACTTGTATTTGTCTATGTAGCAATACATAAGGCAGAGTGTGTTATTCTTGTGTTGCTAGTTGATTCAGTTACCTGAAACAGATACATGATCCAAGTTCTTTACTATTACTTCAGTAACTTGTGAAGAGATAAAACTCTGGCCATCGTGGTACTTAAACTGGCTTTCTGTGTGACTTTTAAGAAAATTCTCTGCTGACAGCTGATGTTGCAAGATGTTTATGGAGACGGATGGAGAGTGGAATAGATGCAGATTTTGTACAACGCTGCTGTGGCACAAGGTGAGCTTATACATGTTCTACTGCATTTTAGGAACCTCGCGACCAGTTACAGGAAATAAGCTGTTGAGATATCGTACATTAGGTACCACTCCCTTCCTCTTAAGAGCACTTGGTGTTAGATTAGGTGCAATAGGTATGAAAAAAGGAAATAAGCTTGGAGACTGTATGTTCTCCAAGGTAATCTTTTCAGATGTTTATTTTTACTAAAAATAGCAAAACCATCTCTAATGGCAGGTTCAGCACAGTGATCAAACTACTTTATATAAAATAAAGATACTGATTTACCATGTTTCTTGGTGTTTCTTATTCCTCCCCCTTTCTAGCTCTAAAATCTTTATAGTTTTGATCTTTCTCCTTTTTTCCTCCCCCCTTTTTTTTTTTTTTTTTTAAGTGCCTTAGCTTTCTCTGTATTAACTTTCTGATGGTTTTGGGAGGTTTTGTGTATGTGTGTGTGTTTTGTTTGAGACGTTTGTTTGTTTAATTTAGTGCATAACTATCAGTTCTAGTCAGGTCAAGTTATTTCTCAGTGGAATGAGGCTGAGGTGGTGATGGTGCCTTCTGTCATTTTCTTCTACAACTAGCTTTTTAAACTCCTTCTCTGTTTCATTTAAACGTGAAAGCCTGTGGAGGTCTTAGAGAACTCCCCCCTCTCTCATTTCCCCACCTCTAGCAGAGACACAAGGACGAGTGCCCCTGCTCTAGTTATAACCCAGGCAGCAAGCTGCTGCCACAATTAGAAGTACATCAACACGCAGCTCAGCAGAGCAGAAGAAAGTTTAAATTGGACTGTAACTCCTCCTTTGGTAGCAAAGCAGGGAAAGAAGCAGAGAAAAGATGTACCCCAACATCTAGCCTTTGAAGGCGTGTTTAGCCCCCTTTTCTTTACCTGATGCTTTTTTTCTACAGTGTTCCCTGGGGGAGGCCATCGGACCTGCGTCCCGCTGTGCCCGCCT